AGCTCTGTTCCTACTGGTCTGAAATCGAGTCTGTGGATGGGATGAACGCAAAATAAGTGTCTCTGAGTGTACGACAACCTTTATGAACAAGCTCATCTACTATTTGCAAATCCCAAAGCAACCGATCACATCGTTCCATGGAAATTTTGCTTTTCAGTCCACTAAAATCCAGCATTAAACTTGTCTACTGAACTGTGTTCTCTGCCCTGTAAACGATAAGTGGACTTTTGTTCTTCATCAGCCTCAACTGTAAACCGACGGCTGCTTGTGAAGGGAACTATTAGAAGGTCGATTTGGCCCTAACTGTCTTCCTAACGTAAACTATTGCATAACAAATTAAAAACAATTATGTAAATTCGCCGATGACATTAAGACTGTGTAGTGGCCTTAATTTTCAGACCCGCCTTTAGCTACTGCCTCCCCATTCATTTTGACCCAATGGATTTTTTACTAAGTTGCTTTACACTCCCAACCACAAGACTGCTGAATAAATGTTAGTTAAGGATCAGCCATAACAGTTAGTGGTGAATTTTCATGATGAAGTAAAGTTAGGCACTGTGACGTCGCCCAGCTACGCAGTAGAGGCCACCACATTAATGAAGGGCTTAGGAGATGACTAATATAACTAGTACGAATAGGTAGGCAGTGATATTAATTCGTTGGTACTACAATGAGTATTGAATGAGTCTGAGAGTACCGAGATGCTCCTGAGGGCCTGCTTACTGGTTGAACAGGGATACCACCCAACAGAGGTAATACTTGAAAGACCCTCGATAACCTAAGCTACCCTAGAACCATCTTGAGATGAAAAGACCTCTAGCGTGGATACCGAGTTTAACCATCTTAGAGCAGTTAGCTGAATTGTGATGGTGTTTCGAAGAGAAAAGTGCGTTTTATAATTATAATATAAATTGGACACTGCCGAACACTGGTTCTCATATCAATACGACCGCACACTTGTTACACAATAATAGAGAGAATCAGTGGATATCAAATGGGGGAAACGAAGCCTCTTCTTCGAGTGGGGTTGGGAAATTTCGACATAAATATATGCAAAAACAGGATCCTGTTGAATAGCTCGTTAAACCGTTGATGAAAGGTGTCATTGGTTTCAGTCACTTTAGTTTAGTGGTGCTCGAATAAGCGTTCACAGATATCATCGTTTTCACCGTGTAATTTCCTTTACTAGCAAGAGGAAGGATCGGTTTGTCATACATTTTTCTCATATCTGACGTTCTCCTATTTTTCAGTTGAACTTTAAAGAGCTGCGATGATGCCTCGATATAAAACCTAAAGACCACTCACGATGAAGACAAGGGATGCTGGACCTTCAACACGAAACCCAACCATCATCATCCACGACAGCGACACCAGAGGAGAACATTAATGCACCACTATCTGAGAACCAATTATACTTATCTGAATAAAGCTTTACAATGGAGAGAAGAAAACACTGGAACAGGAGGGATGAGCTTGAGCTAACCTGCCACAAACACCCAAGGTGCCTGAACCTCCAACAATTAGTCGAACAACATGAATAGAATCTGACTGCACGAACGCCATTGGCATATTCCTGTCTTAAAACAACCACAGGACCGGTCACCTGGACCACATCCTAGGAAGCAAACATCACGGACGGCACCCAAACTTTACGCAACATCCTTCATCTCCAGTTATGTCAAGTCTTGTTCACTTCTAGGTTTCGGCCACTCCGAACTAAGCACAGGAAACAGCGCTTTTCTCGGCAGGCAGCAATTCAGTATGCGCAACACAAGGTCCAGCCGCCTTTGGTTTCAGTGTTTTAACCAGAGAATTAGCATGAAGAAAGCTTAAGATGACGGCGAAGAGAAGAGTTTACTAACTTCTTGTGACAGGCCCTCTAAGTGCTTCGTTAGCTGACCAGTGGCATAGAATATACTTAAACGTCTTTGATGCAGGATTAAGTGAAGCGGACCACATACCCATCACGTGTCCTGAAAGGGGATAACTATCGCCATCAATCAATTAAAATCTCAGAGTTTGTCTTTTGATACTCTGAAGTTATGAATCCTATAATATTTTTTTACTGGTGTTTTTACGGAAAATGTAGCTACCCTTGGGATTTTTGTAAAATGGCTCATCTGCTGGCTAAACAGGCCAGGCTGATACGGGAGTCAACGTCACAACAGAATGCACAGTTGGAGCTATACATCCTGAGCAGTAAAGTTTTCCGTCAGGCAGTTTTAAAGAGTAAAAAGTATCTTTCACGGCTAGGCCGTACTCTTGAAAAGTCTGATGAACATGCCTACCCTAATTAAGAACATATACGCCGAAATCAAAAGAATCCGGTACGGTTCAATCAGGTAAATAATACAAGTTTAAGGGAAGTGCTAAAAGTAATACATCGGTTGGTAATGTTAGTGGAGAAGATCTTTCTACAAATTCAGTGTAGTATTTATTTAAGCTGGATGATGAACTGTGCACAATTGGATAACACCTAAATGACTCAGTTTTCACATACAATTGACTCCAAGTTAAGCGGAAAAAAATGAAATTAACCTCGAGGTAGGTTTTCTTCTAAGTGAATTCTGCCGTTCTCCCTGATGCGAACTGAACTTCTACACTGCATTCATACTCCGTGTAAGCTGTTGTTTGAAGTCGGGTGTGTGCAATACCGAAAATCTGAACAATTGCGAAGACCCGATGTGTGTTTTCAGACAACGGGAAAAAAGTGACAGTGGCGGAGTTCGCACGTGACATTTACAACACTCGACAAACAAATAATGGATGTGGTGACATATTTGGGACACCTTGTGATGTTGGAGAAATACGAAAGGAAGTGTACTAATGCATGATTTATACGCCCGTTAAAGCACCTGATAAATCAGACCATAATTTTTTATGTTTGCCTCCAGGCTTGGTAGGTTTTATTTCAATCGTAGTCGTTTGGCTTATATTTAAGCCTGAATTCGGAACAACCAGTTCAAAAATTCAGTCAGATGACTATATTGTTAGGTAAGCAGTAGAAACGGGGATTCTTCAGGATTCTTTTCCTGCCTACAGATAGGCCTCCTATAGACTAACGCATATATCATCTGACTCTACCGAGTCCAACGATGAAGTAGCTGAAACTATCAATCCAAAACACGGCTTCACAAAAGTAAATGCGAGAACCGAAAATGGCACCTTGTGAATCCCGACTTAGTCACCCAAGGAAATCTCATTCAGTTATGTAATTAGGTCATGACTTTCATTTCTATCAATCAGCTGAAGCAAATTAGATGGTCCGTTGCTACCTGTATGTTACTCAGTGACCTCCTCTTTGGTTCACAGCGCTTAATCCCCTATGATCTTTCCTCACCAGTAGCATACATCTTAAACGAGTAATTAGCTTTCACTAGTGATGACGTTCTATGAGTTCCATCTATTTACCGTTTCTGAACCGACTTGGACTAGTTCACTGTAAGCTTACTTCGAATGAGACGATGCACTTAGCGCACAGGTACATACTGATGGTTCGCTCACTTCAACATACTCTATCCACTAAGCTTCATCTAGTACGCACTCCCAAATCAGATTATTCATGAGTATTTTTGTGCGTGAAAACACGTACACCATGAACCACCCATGGTCCTGCAGCTGCGGGACTGATTAGCTTATGTTTTACCAAAGAGTGGTTTTAGTCACCCACATACAAGGTCCAATGTCCCTTATTTGGTAGTGGGCTTCTTTCAACATATCTGTGACCAGTTCGTAAACCATACAGACGATTTGTTTGACATTTTCATCTCCATTTCGGTCTCATACCATCTGCAGCTCAACCTCTCAGATGACGCGCCAATACTAGATTAAGTGACTTAAAATGTGTGAATGAACGCTTTTTAACTACACTGCCGAATAGCCACTTAAACCGAATACTGGAGCGTAAAACACCTGTACAGAATGCCTAAGGTTCAAACCCCCCGGGGTTCATGAGGTGCGCTTTGCTGATCGCTCCTAGCAAGCATGAAATGGTCATGCTGTGTTCCCTGCCTTTCTAGCATAGACGTAACACCCTCACATGACAATTTCGAAGGGGCTTTGAAGCTTTGAAACCTCGCTGTCTAAATATCGAAGACATGATGGTTTAGCGTATGTCCAGAGGCATAGCCAATTAGGTTTGCGAAAGTGATTGAAGCTAATTTGCTCTGTTGTTTGAAAAAGTCGTCAGGTTTTGTCTATCAGATTAATGAAAATCGCACACGGCCATTTTATAAACGAGTAGAGCTCCGATCTCATTTCGTGGTAAACCTAAAATTCAAGAAGAAAACCTCACGGATCTAGCATTCGACTCAAACGGAATTATTTACAAGCACGGTACGATGTCCTCTGACCGGGTGCGAGGACCCTGTGTGTGTATCACTCATTGGTTCACTATTATACCACACACTCTCAATGAATCTATTGTTCTTTGGTGCAGAAAACTTAATGAACGATGCACAACCGATTTATCCGAAATTAACCCCAACTCCGTGCCTGAATTCTGCTTAACCCAAAGATCCAGGTCTGGTTTGAACCCAAAGATTAGCAGTTTCGGAATAGTTTGATATATCAACATCATCGACATGACACCAGTACTCAACACTGATTCCTCCTACAAAAATGATTTATTTGAAAGCCTTGATTTGAAGGAAAACTAAAGCGGATGGGCAAGTGACTTAGCCGCCAGTCTACCACAATCATTCGGAGGTGTCTACATCCCTATACACGGATTCAGACTATCTGCATAGAAATTGAGAACAAGAATGTTATTGACACCGACTAGCAGTCATATCTTGCAGCGTCTCCAGCCTGGTACAGTGGGGACCACGCAGTCCATATTGTGGAAGTCGAGTAGCGCCAAAACCTTTCGTTCTAATTGATTCCGGGGACCACGCAGTCCATGTTGTGAAAGTCGAGTAGCACAGACAGCGCCAAAACCTTTCGTTCTAATTGATTCAAGAAGCGAAATGCTTAGTCACTAATTTATCCACGACAACCAGGAGGAAACAAGTTATTCAAAAATAGCTGACGCTCCATTACTGGAAGTACGTCGGTTTATTATCCCTAGGGGTCTGTCTCTAAATCGGCGAATTCCGATCACCCCTACCACACCACACTATAAGACTTCGAACTGCAGGCTGTGACACAAGTTACTGGTTACATTCCACTCGCGGACAAGAGGGTCAGCTGAAAAAATCTATACAAGTGCGGAAGTACAATCAGTAAAGTCGCCTGGAAAAGTCAAATCATAGTTTCAAAAGAAGCGACTTCAAGTCAAACCGGATAGGAATTTTGGAAGCAGACTTTCAACTCGTACAACCTTCTGGCACTTCACTGTGTGGACAAATCGGCTGTTGCTCGCCTGATTTTTCGTAGATATCGTTGCTCTGCTTCCAAGAACTGTGCATCCTACAAGAAAAAAGATAGCAAATATAAGGGAAGGTCATCATCGTTGAAACGCCAAACTCTGTCAGACACCATAGATTTCCATCACAACAAGCCTTGATTTTCACTTGTCTGAGGTGCAAATCAGGTTTCATGCCCTTCAACGAGTTGGTGACTATTTCAACTGCCCTGCCGTTAGCTGACAAATTACTTCAATGTCTCTGCCGTTCCTTCGTCAACTTGATTAGAGTTACTAGTTCAGTCATCCGGGAAGATCACATTGAATTTTCGTGACTGAAAAAGGCGAGAAATGTTCAAGTTCATTGTCTCACAGAAAATATCCATGCAAAATTATTCTATGAACTGCTTGGGAAACAACAGCTTTTAACATTCCTCATCGGTGAAATTTTCTCTCTTTTGCCATTCATCAATCTCACTGCGTTGTTCGCAATTCCGGTGTGTATGTTTAATCCACCCAAGGGGCTGGAAACCTCGGGAGTTCAAATGCTCCCGAGAAGTTCCCTCATAGACACTGAGTATGCAGACGGTATTGCTCTCCTTGGTTCAGATCCTTCTCAAGTGCAAACGATTTTGAATAATCTAAATCACTCTGCCGCACGGTTTGGCATACGCTTCACACCTGCAAAATGTAAAGTGCTGCTGCGAGATTGCCTGGGATCAAGCCCACACCTCATGCTTGTAGGTGAGCTAATCGATGTGGTAGATAAATTAGTTTACTTGGGCAGCTGTATAAGTTATGGTGGACTAACTGGAGATGAGATTATTTCTCGAATCGGAAAGGCCAGGGCAGCTTTTGCCAACCTCCGACACCTGTGGCGTCGACGTGACGTCAGCTTGTCTGTCAGCGGAGTTTACATTGCGGTGGTACGATCCATACTGCTTTATTGATCGGAGAAGTGGCCCCTACGCGCAGAGAACATACGGAATATGTCAGCGTTTGATCATTGGTGTCTCCGAAGCATTGGTTAGGTCTGGCAGAAACATCGGATTAGCAATGCTGATGCTCTTAGGAAGAATGATAGATGAATTACTCACGCTTCACAGGTTGCGCTGTTTGGGACATGTACTCTGCATGCTAGAAGACCATCTGCTTCACAGAGCTCTTTTCTCCCAGCCCTATGATGAGTGGCAGCGACCGATAGGTGGACAGTTTATGGCCTGGCAACGAAGTACAAAAGCACTAACCAGTAAACTTGGTCGGGTGGGCAACTCCCACCTCCCTGCATGGGAACCTCGAAACGGAGTGCCTTAAATGGCCCAATGGCGTAGTCAGTGGCGTTCATGCATCAAAGCCTTCGCCTCCAAGGCTTGATTGTATGTTCCACTTTCCCGTTTTCGGGCGATCAAAACTGTAGCAGCTGGAACCAGTTTGCCTATGGCACACGGTTTATAACTGATAAGTTGAAGTGAATTGAATTGACTACAAACCATTTCATTAGCCTGCTTCAACCTGCTGCAGCATAAAGGTCGGTAGGACTTTATTTCACCTGCATGCCCTTCGGTTGTGCAACGCAGACTTAGGTTTACTATACACACCCACTCACCCACCAGTCCCCTAAGGTCAAGTCAGATCAAGTCTCACGACTTGTCGTCGTGTAGTACTTTGATAGCGCTGGCTGCTTTTTGGCCGTTCTCTCGAACTTACATGGTAACCGCGACTGACGAAATGGAGAATACTCTCACCGATTTCTGACTAGACTGTCGCGGGTCGCTTCTATAATGGTTGACTGGAACGCGCGAATTTTTCAAACGTACATACACTCTTTTGCAAAAGTTTAAGTAGGATCCAAAAATAAGATACCGAGTCTGGTACCATGAATACAACCCTCCCGACAATGAAAGGCAATGTTTCAGTGTTTAAGGCTCCGTTTGAAATTTTTATATGCACATGGAATTATGTAATTTTTTAATACTTTTTTTAATCAGTGCATTTTGTTGACGTAACAATTCAACTTACTTCTTTTTGAGAAGCGCGAAATTGTGCGAGTAGCGCCGGATCTCCAAGCAATGATGCTGAAAAAGACGTGCGCATAGGCCACGTTCAACAGTAGTATTGACCATATTGACCAAGATAGGAACAGTTTAATCTAAGGACTCACAATTCATTTGAAGGAACTCAAATGAATATGAATGGGTGTATTTAGTTACTTACTATTCAGTTGTTCGGTGCGGGTAATGTCCTCCCGAACATCACGTCTTCCGAAAGTTGTTTTCTGTGTGGAGGCATTGTGTTCCCGAACTGGAACACGACAGTTGGCACAAACGCTAGGAAGCCTTCCGGTTGCCTGTTGACGGAGTTGAACGAGTTCTGCGTGTTGTCGCACAACTTCTTTGCGTTCCTATTATCCAAGAATAAAAATGTAGAATGTAGAATGGACGGTTATTTCGATCATCAGGGCCTACAAATATAAAACTGGCATGACGAACGTGGTTAAGTGGTCCATCTGCCATCAAATCTGATTGCATTAATACCTAAGCGGGTAATAGAATTATTGGAATTATTTTGTTTAAACACGTACAAATTAAAATATCAGTCACATTTCGACACTTTTTAAGTTGTCAATGCTTCAGGGAAGGACTGCTGCAGGGACAAATACAAGTGATGTCAATCTACAAATGCTCTGGTGGGTTTTGCTTCAGATTTCCATTGTTTTCAAAATTGATGCGATCTCACTGTCTGATTGATGCATGCCATTCGAACTAATACAAAGCTGTGCGGTCATGATGAATGTGGAACAATAATAATTCTAATAGTTGCGTACGGTCTGCTAGCAAAGACAGGTTCTGACTATGCACCATGCCCAGTGAATTCTCGGTTGGGGCGTCATTCTGTGAAGCACCGGTTGAAGCACACGACTTAGGCTGATCATCGCAAACTGTGTTTTAGCTAAGTTAATAAATTCTACATGCCAAAGACCTCGTTATCGGTGAGAATGTTTCGCAAATTAACATACGTTTCTGTCAATGAGGAGGTTTTAAAAATCATCAGAACCCTAGACTTGATCTGAAATCAGGTTATTTCAACCAAAATGATGCCCCATTTCGCAGACGTTTGGGCACAAACAGCTACCGTATTATTAGGGGTCGGTCTAAATCCTCACAGTGTGCTAGTGCTATATCAAACAATGAAAGTGTAGTGAGCCAAACAATAACAATTGAAAGCAGTTTCTTGCCTTTAGTCAAGAAACCCCAACTATTCAATATTTCAGTGATTGATCCGGTGGTCAAGAAGGAAGATTCTGACGCATGTGCAAAATTACGGAGTTTGAAATCACTTCCACGGTGCCATTCATAGGTTATTTGAGCTCAGCTCAATCACTTATCGTTTCGTATTGTTAAACAGAAAGAAACCGAAAGAGACGAAACATCAAAATATATTTGTTTCACCAACCCATGTATAAAAAATCAACAAAGTCAACTACGTCAGAGACACTTAGTAACTTACCATATTCATTTTGCGTTCAGATTCATGCAGACGTTCTTCGCGTGCTTGTAATTCTGCCAATCCTTTGTTCTGTTCCTGTTTTAGTCTCTCTAACCGCAACTGAGCTTCGGTCAGCTCCTTCTCGGAATTGCTGACCGTATCAGATCGACGAGCTAATTCCGTTGCTTGTTCCGTTAAATAACGGTTGCGCTCATTCAGCTCCTCTTGTTCTCGAACCAGATCACATCTGCAGCATAGTAGTTAGAGATAGACGCAGCAGTTGCGTGGTCAGTTTATGCTTTAACGTCGGCATTGTGCTTAAATATTGGCAGCTTGGATACTTTCATGGTTATTTGGCCAGTGGCTAATGATCTTTTTAGCTAAGCTTGGAAGTTAACTTGCAGAACTTTTGACACGGTTGGTTGACTACTTCAGCATTAGTCTGCATAGAGTTGAACAAGTATGTTTTAACTCGCAACGCGATTGCCTAATTCAGAGACAGCATTCTCGTCAGTTAATCGGTCCACTGCGACCACAACTCAACACGAGTCCAAAACAGGTAATTGCTTTAAGAGTTAACAGATACACTTTTATTAAAACGCATGCAGAAAAAAATGAAGTAACCATTCAACCGTTCACTGATGTCTCTTAGTTTGATGACGAAAAGACTGCAAGTGAACTGGCAATAAAATGTTACACTTTCAAGTGAGAGAGACGCTATTCCATAGACAATCATATCATTGGTATAGCCCATAATCACTAGAAAACTGCAATTGTCGAGATGAAATTCCATTTGCACATCTAACTGCCGTTAACAGGGGACTAAAATGAGACTGTGCTTAAACAAATGTTAACTATTCAGTCAGTTGGGAAGTTTTCGAAGAAGTTTGAGACAGTGTCCCTCCAATAACCAGCTTGAGACCGTTGTATGTTCGCACTCACACGCACTCACGCTCTCGCACTCGCTTGTTCGGAATATAGCTGTTGTGTTCCTTTCTGTGAGTCTTTTTTTCCGGCACCAGGCGCTGGAAGCGGCTCGAAGCCAGATACAACAGATTGGCGAATCAGTAGATATAACAAATCAATAATGGCGGTGACGGTTTTTATAGTGAGGAGAAACAAGATTGTCAGTAACTACAATGAAGGGACGCATCCGAGATAGGGAAGATGTTGCAGCGTACCGAACTACTTCCAGATTTCTTTGGAGAATTAAGCGAACTCAGTGTCACGTGAGAATATGAATCCAGCGATCATGAATCCATCGAAATGATTCGAATGCTAAATACCTAGGCTTGTGTTTGACTCACTTCAGAGTACAGACTACCTCTAAGGTAGCGAATTCGGTAATACGTCACAAATAGAAGATTTGGTTAGATGTCTGTATATCAGCAAACACTGCACCAAATTGTGGAAAGAACCTGACAGTTTATCTCTTTCACTCATTATCTTTTGCCTTGTATGTCGAGTTAACGTACCGCACAATGTCCAGCTGTCGCCGAGTTTCCTCAAGCTTCACCTCATCTATCCGCAGTTTGTTCACTTGTTCATCCAAATGCCTTCGTTCTGCTCCCAGTTTCTGCTTTGCAGCATCTATTGATTCTTTCTCCTGAAAAGGATACCAATAGTTATGTCCAGGTGGTGGATAAATTTAATTCAGTCAATTTGTAAGATAGTAGTTATTGACTTGCTTATCCTAATGGATTCTGAGTTTCCTATTTGTGTACAGTAATCAGCAAAAATATTACTCATAACTGGTGGTCACTCGAAAATCTGGTGGCCCATTTGTTGATTCAAAACAATCTCAAATAAAATAGCTCATAAAACCTCTATCAAGCCTTGTCTTATTCGAAAATGTGTACTTTTGGATGAGACTTGGCCTATTCGAGCAGCGGACCTGAGACGTCTCCAGGTGTTCGACAATCGTTGTCTCAGAACCATAGCTCGTGTGGGTTGGTGTCAGCGAATCCGTAACGAGGCAGTTAGAAAGCGTGTTTTCGGTTGTGTAACAGGTACTTCCATTGAAGAATGTTTTCAGCACCAGAAGCTGCGTTGGTTGGGACATGTGTCACGTATGCCGAACCATCGTTTGCCGAAGAGAGT